TTTCAATCAAAATGCAAAAACTCTATTACAAAACCTTAGATATATAACTATGGTCTCCCTCAATGATGGGATTCAAATTTTTTTACTACCAGTTTTGTGGACGTGGCTTGGTGGGCATGGAAGGAAGGATACTGTAAAATCTCCAGGCAGATGGTATTTGCCGGTTCCTTGAGCTACTCAAAATTTCTGCTACCAGTTCTCCAGAACTGGTCAGAACCTGCTGGATACCACCTCTGGTCTTCCCTCCCCTGACCCCATGGTCTAAGAAGCTAGCCTGTGTAGATTCTATTATTTTAAGAAAGAACAATGAAAAATGCCACGAATCCTTAGATGAAGACTATGAGGACTGCAGATTATGTTATGGAAGCCTATTTATATATGTATGTATTTATTGCATTCTATTAATATAGTTACTATTATCACTATGTCTGGCCAGCAAACATGTTTTAAAAACATCCATATAAATAACAACGAAAATATATTCTGTTATAGAGTATGGTTATCAGAGCTAACGATATAAAAAGTTTTCAAAGATTGAAAGTGCTTGTTACTAGTCCAGAAGAATCCTGAATACTTAAAAAGGACCCTGTTCCATAACCTGCCATATTCAGGGTTGCAGAAATAGAAGTTTTATGTCCATTGTCATCTGTAGGGTGTCAAAAAAAATGTGGGAAAGTTGCATGTGATCACATGGCAGATGGGAACTCCATCCCCCTTTTTGCCTGTGTGCAATGTGTGTGCTGCACAGGGGCTTCGACTGCTGTTATAGCCATTTTGATTGCTCTGCAGGCCCCCATGTTTACAAAGTCTTAAAACTTTTCTTGGGAATAACAAGAGCATTAAGTGAAGTTTTTTTTAATTTCATGAAAATTGTTAATGGAACTGAACATAGTGGAGAACTTACATAAATTATATTTTATAATTTTATTCTACTAGTTTCTAGTTTTCATCCTACTGAGACTACCGATATCCTTAGGAATGTGTCTCTTATCATGACATTCAAAAGCCATGTGTGACCTTCAGCCTAGAAAGTTGTTTTGTGGATGATTGCAATGCATTGTATAAACGGTAATTTATAATTACCATTTCCCCAAATAATCCAGTTCACAATTTAAATAAATTTAATCACACATTTATAAGTAAAATTGAAAATTCACATACTTGGTAAAATATTTATTATGAAAACTGAATTGTAACTGTACAATTTGATATGAATTACATACAGTACAATGAAAACCAAAATATTGCATATAATAAATTCTAATGTTGCCAAAATATAAATTGTATACAACCAGCATCTCAATCCATGAGTCCAGATAGAGGCTAACTTGCATTCTCAACATTCAGCAATGTGATGTAGGTCCTGGGAACAATTATAGCTACAGTGTTTTTAACTTTTGAGAGAGTAAATGGCTGAAACAACTTAATAATGTGCCTGTAGCATATGGCTAAATATACTTTTAGCAAATTGAATATTTACAATACAATACAAGAAAAACAAAATAATCCTGAACAAAGCAAAGCAAGATATGACAATGCTGAACAACGAAGTTGTTCTACAAGAAACTGCACACATTATCAGGCCACAGAATATAATTACATTCTTAATAGTCAGTCATCTTTCTGAAGTAATGATTAAAACCCATGGCCAGTATTGTGTAAATCATTTTGTTAAGGCATATATACAATAAGTTGAGCCATGAAATCTTCAGTTTGAATGGCTGATTCCTTATGGGCCTTTAATATGTTAATATTTTATTAGGCACTTCTGCCGGAAGGAAGGAAGGAAGGAAGGAAGGAAGGAAGAAAGGAAGGATTAAAGCTAAGGTTCCACAAGAGGCAACATCTGTAAATAGGACAGATGAAACTGAGAAAAGCTACATGGTATGCAAATATATATACATGTGCACAACATAAAAACACATTGGCAATTTGCACATGTGATATGTTTGCTAAGGTTCAGCTATGCCTCAGTTTGCATTATATGAGGCCCTCCTCGTATAAGTTGCCTTCTATATACTATGCAGGTAAAAGAAAATCATGGTGACATTGTAGCCTATGCACAGAGTGTAAGTCATGAAAAGCAGAAGAGGGTCACTTTTGCACATGGTCCATATAGATTATTTAGAGGTCTAGGTAAATGGTCCATGTCCACTTTAAATCAGAAATGTAACACAGGATCACACTCAGAAAGAAATCTTGGCCCTACTGGATCTAAGGCAAAGAAAAAGCTGAATCAGCCACACACTTCATGTAGTTTTGTGCATTGGGGTGAGTTGGAAGCTACTTGAAACCAATAAGATCAATTGTTGCAATGGCCATCTTAAGGTAAATTATGGCAATAAGACCTAGCAGTAATGATAGCTAATGTATGCATTCAAGATATACTTTTATATAAAACTCACTAAAGCTGCCTTTTCCCAAAATAATGCAAGCCAAAAAAAATGAATGCATGTGGATTCAACATGTGTAGCTATAACGTACATCCATCCTATCTCTTCATATAATACAGAGAAGGAGTATTTTTCTCCCCTTTCACTAAGAGCTGTATCTGTTTCCTGGCATCTGAGGGTCACAGGGAATGTGATAGTAGTGCGGGGACAACAGCAGAGTCTGTAAGAAATGTTCAGCCCTTTTTCAAATGGGGAGGATGGTAGTCCTGGAAAGGGAGCATTGCAGAAGTGGTACAAGAGCCTCCCAAAGCATTAATACGTCTATTTTAAAACTTAACTTGGTAGATTATCAAAAGTGAATTTCAAAGGTAGGGGGCCTTCTAGGTGGCTGCAAAAATAGGATGGGAATTATATACTGCCTTAAGGTTGTCTATCACTGATACAAAAGTATATTTTAATTACCGGTAATGGCTAAAACTTTAAGTGACAAAAATACTGTCTATGAAATATAGCAATGGAGCAAAGTACCTTAATTTTATTTTAGAGTGGCATAAAAATTAAATGGCTTCAGGACAACAAAAAATATTGACAATTTTGGCATTCTAAAATAAAAGGTGTTTTAGGTTCACTCATTTAGAGCCAATTCTGCTAAATATTTTCACATTAATGTACAACATGTTGCTTAGGTCATGTATCTTAGGTCTAATAACTTGTGATTTTTATTCTTTGCAGAACTTTAAAAAGGTGATAATGAAACTATTGATCTTGCTACTTTTTACAAATACATTTTAATATGAAATATTAATCTGAATTACTGTATAATTTATGTACACAAATATCTAACACTATAATTGACTACTACATCAATTTTCCAGGAGGACATCTTTTAATACAATCACATTTATTTTCAGAATAAGTAAACTTGTTTCTAATTATCCTAAGAAAACATCACATAACTTAAATTTACTTAATAGCAGAAACAGAAATTAGGTTTTAGTTTCTGAATTATCAAGTTGATGAAATGACTTGAGGGTTTTATTTTTTTTGGCATGTGAAAAAAAAATCCCTGCATTGACAAAAATTCACTGAGATGAATTTTTTTTAAATGTGCAAAATAAATAATGACAATACATTGAATATGATTTAACAAAGGAAATAAAAACAACTTCTATGTAAACTTATAATCGAATATAGCCCACAAAATACTATAGAGACCATATTGGTGGAAGTCCATGCAGTTGTCAAACCTGGGCTGATCAGTCAGTAAATTACCCACAAAGATAAATATAGCCTATAAAATGTTTATGTTATGATACCATACAATATGCAATTAACTGGATGCTTTCTCTCCATAACAATTTAGTTCTTTAGCTATACTAAAACTGCTTTTTTCGCTTGGTTCATAATTATACAAACATGAGAGAATATAAAAGTGCCTTCCCACAAGAATTACCACTCTATTCAAAGTATCCCCAGATTAGCTTATATTGTTGTTCTAATTGTCACTCATGAAAAAAATATTAGACCCTATAGGTATAAGATGGTGTGCTTGTTTGGACCTAGACATTTGAATTTCAAACACTGAAAATTTCAAGCTTTTCAAAGTTTTCTCGGAATGTAACAGCCTATGCAAGTGCATGATTCTATCCAGAATTTTATAGATTCATTATGGGGCTGTTTAAGCATTGTTTGTGCATTCATCTTTTTTAGGTCTGACATAAATTCAGTGCTAACAGGAAAAAAAAGCTTCCTAATCAGCTCATCTCCTCCCAAGATGTTGGAAATTAATGGTTCTACATTACCACTCCAATTACTGGGTGCTGGAAAATCTGACATAACCATCTAGACCGGGGGGGGGGGGTCAAATTCAAGGCCCGGGGGCTGGATCAGGCCCGCAGGGTGCTTAGAACTGGTCCACAGGGCTGCCCTGAAAATAGCAAAGGACTGGCCTGTGGTGCCTCTGCAAGTGAAAATGGAGTCCACGAGGGCTGTGTGTGGGGCCCCCAAGCTCTTTTTTTTTCTGGCAGAGGGTTGTAGAAGGCCATTGCAGCTGAAAATGGAGCTCAGGAGCCAATTTTTGCTGGCAGAGTGCTCGGGCCGTCACAGGCGCCCCTGACACAAGTGATGTCATGCTGGCCAGGCCCACCCCAGCCCCCTGAGGTCAAACACAACCCTGATGTGGCCCTCAATGAAATCGAGCTTGACACCCCTGATCTAGACTCAATGTTCAATGTCAGGTCTCTAGATTAGCATTGGAAAAATGAAAACCAGGAATAATCCAGAAGGCTTCATTGCATGTAAAAATCTGTTTTTAGGGATATTTTGGCAAATGGGAAAACATTTGTGTTTTATAACTTGAAAAGTGAAAATGTATATTTGATTGTAAATAATGTTAATTATAATAAATGTATAATTATGATCCAGTGACTGCAAATATAATGATTGCAAAGATTAGACTGAATTTTGATCTTCACAGGTCCAGATTACAGTATAAAGGAAAACTCTAGCAAGTCTTATTTTATCAATAGAAGAATTCCAAAAACTTACAATAGTGCTTGTGCATATATTTTTTCTTGAAACAGATTCAGTATAATCGTTATTTAGAGGGACAGTTTTTCCATTTATAAAGGTAAGAGTTAGATTCCAGAAAAAATATTGACATATTTATCAATTTAATCAGCCTTTCCTTAACATTTTTAATGTGTTTTGGTAACATTAAAATAAACTCAGACCATAAGAAAAAGATTTTTTTAAAAAACAGTGTTGACAACATGATGGACAATTCAAATTTAAATTCTCCATGCTAGTGATGACACGTGCAAAATAAGTTGGCTAAAAATGGTAGAACTGAGAAGTCAAGCTGTTTTTCATAGCAACTTATTTTTGTTGCCCTGTGATAGAAGTTGTGAACACTTCATAATATAAGTTATGAACATGTTTACTTCAAAATTTGCTCTAAGAAACAACTTTATAACAATTACTGGATTTCACTGTGACTTGATCACCTTTCTTGCAGCTAAAATACTGTATCCTTACACAATAATGGGAACAATAGATTCTTGCAGATCAGTGCAGTTCAATATATCCTTTGGTCCAATTTACATATTAACACCATCTCATTTTAAATATTAAAAAAAGACAGACATTGAATGGCATAGCAATAGAAAAAGTAGGAATACTAATTTCCTACATGATAATTGGAACTGATTACCAATCGTTGGAAAAAAAGAGACACAGACTTGCATTTTCACTAAAAACGGACAATCCTATTTTTGCAGTTCCATTTAGAAAGATCTCCAGGCAATCGTTTTCAACACTTGTGTTTCATGGCAAGCTGCAGAGAGGAAAAAGAAGAGAACGTATTAAGATACTTATTTGCAATTCTAGCCACAGCTCTGATTCTTAGGATTTGAAAATACTGAAAATAGAAAGCAAAATAGAACCGTGTCTGCAGAACTGCAATGAAAATTAAACTTTCTCTTGTGGGATATTAAGAGCTGATGTTACTGAAATAAAAGTAAGGCATCTAATTTGGTTTACAGGTAGTCCTCGACTTACAACAGTTCATTTAGTGCCCTAAGGTTACAACAATTGAAAAAAGTGACTTATGACCATTTTTCACACTTACCACCTTTGCAGCATCTCCATGGTTACGTGATCAAAATTTAGATGCTTGGCAGCTGACTCATATTTATGATGCTTACGGTGTCCCTGGGCCATGTGATCACCTTTTCTAACCTTCTGATGAGCAAAATCAATGGGGAAACCAGATTCACTTAACAAAGTAACATCTGCAGTGATTTACTTAACAACTTTGGCAAGACAGGTCATAAAATGGAGCAAAATTCACTTAACAAATGTTTCAATTAGCAACGTAAGTTTTGGACTCAATTGTGGTCATAAGTTGAGGACTACCTTTACTCTGTTTGAATGGCAGTTCAAATAAGCTGAAAATTAATTAGGATAAACAAAGAAAGATACATTATTAGTGCTAAACAATACTGAATTATACCAATCTCAAGTGCTGTTTAAAAAAACATTGGCTTCTAAATATTTTACATCCAATTCTAATTTAAAGAAACACTATACTGAAGCAAGAAAGCGTACATTTTCTTCTCTCCTGTACAAGCACAGAGCTAATGCAAACTACATCTGACTCTACGGTGCAAACTTAGTACAAACCATAGTTTCAAGGTCAGGATGCTTCAGGTATCAGATTGATTAATATAAGAAATAAAGAAGAACGCTTGCAAGAATTAAGTATGTCTAGTTTAATGAAAGGAAGAATTAGGGGGTGACGTGATATCAATGTTCCACTAAGAGTCTGCTATAAAGGAGAGGGGGCCAACCTATTCTCCAAAGCATCTGAAAGCACAGCAAAAAGCAATGGATAGAAGCTAATCAAGGAGAGAACCAACGTAGAACTAAGGAGAATTTTCCTGACAGTTAGAACTGTTAGAAATTAACCAGAGGAATGGCTCGCCTTCAGAAGTTCTGGGTGCTCCAACACTGGAAGTTTTTAAGAAGAGTTTGGACAGGAATTTGTCTGAAATGGTATAGGTCTCCTGTCTGAGCAGGGGTTGGACTAGAAGACCTCCAAGGTCCCTTTCCAGCTCTGTTATTGTTATTCTGATTCAATCCTTTGGGTCAAGGAAAGATTAAAAAACCATTTTGTCATAATCACATTTTTCCAAACTATCCTTTGCAGAATGTTATGTATGCAGTTACCCCAGAGAATCTAAAACATGGACAAATTCTTAGCAAAGTTGCCAGTGTTGAAAGCAGTAGTGAGGGAAATATTAGTGTTCACATATTTTAATATTTGGCCTTGAGAATAGGCCTGGAGTCTTTTCAAAGCAACACTAAAAGATGAAGGGATCCTTCTTATAATTACCAAAGGCTGTGTGTAATACATGTTTCCATCTAATTCAGCATTAGCTGTGTTGCCTGATATGTGTTTTAAAAAGCAGAATCCTTGTATCAATTCCTGAAACTATCAGAAATCAATCCTTGCATTTACTTGCAGTAGGTGAAGTCAATCCTTTTTTTGTCCTGTTGGCTCCAATTTCAGGTGTTTTGAGAATGAAACTGGGTCATTTGCAGGCTAAAGAAGAGCCATTTCCATCTACCACAATGTTTTTCTTTTCTTCTACTTGGAAAATATTTGAAAAACCAGAGTAGATGGCAAGTAAACAGCTGCATCTTTCAATTATCAGCCTCAGTTATATTGTCAAGGGATTGTCTGGCTATTTTAGATCCACACAGCACAGCTTATTCTTGAGAGGTGCCAGGAAATATCTCTCACTGCATCTCCCCTGCTTAACTGCAAAATTAACTTGACATGCAGCCACCTACTATAAAGCAATCTAAGATCTCATTACAGCATTGAGAGAGCGTGATTAGGAGTCAAGGATGTCTCATAGCATGTTGCCATTTCTTTTGAAGCAAGGCTTTTTTAATAGACATAGTATTAAAACAATTACTTACATTCTTTAAAAACATAACATACAATTTCCAGTGTCTTTTTCCAGTATGGGTTTACTTTCAGGCACTTTACAGATAAATATTTCATACCACATACAAGCCAATAATTTGTGTAAATAATTGACTTCTGCAACAGTGATTCTGAAGTCATTTTAAAGTGTTTAAAAATAAGCAAGAGCTGGAATAATTAGGGTTTTTTTTCATCAGAAGCAGGTAGGAGGTAGAATATAATGAAGCATTGGAATACATTTTTTCTTTTCTATATTTTTAAAATATAGATATTTTTAAAATATCATTCAGGTTGTTAGGTATAGAAAAACTCAAAAATAAAATAAAATAATTCTTGGAAATGTTCATTAAGCCAAGTAATGTCAATGTCATAATATGCAAACATTTCAATTTCAAGAACTCTTTGCTAGGCACGCACAGACAACAGACAGACAGACAGACACCGAAAAGCACACAAATAGGAAAAAGGCTTGTGTTCAAGCATAGCTAGGTCAGTTATAGTATTACCTACATAAATTTTGGGGATCCCTACCATAAATTTGGGGGAAATCCTAGTTGCAGCTTGACATTTGTATTTGAAGATTATTAATTTTGTCTATAGAATTCTCTAAGGCAGTATAAGATACAGGCACAGCTTGAATCCTGTTCACGTTTCTGCTCTAGTTTTCGTGCCAGAAGCCTGGAAGTTAGACATCAAGTTGGTCTAAAATGGATTTTTCTTCTTTTTTATATTCTATGATTATAAAACGAACTAGGAAAAATGTAACTCTGTTATTTTAATTATCAATTGTGTCATGTGTCTCAATCTGCATTTCAAAAATGTTCTAAAGTATTTGGAGTTCTTGAATGTTTTTCTTCAATACATATCCATAGCTAAATTATAGAAATATAATTATAAGAAGCAAATAGGTGTTTATTTGGAAACAGCAAGCTTGCTTTGTAATGATGTATTTCAGTTGCCAATATACATATTTTATATCAGTATTATCATCACACGGTGATGAAATTAAAAGATGCTTGCTCTCTGGGAAAAAAGCAATCCTAGACAGATTACTAAAAAGCAGAGACATCACCTTGCTGATGAAAGTCCCTATAGTCAAGGCTAAGGCTTTCCTGGTAGTAATGTATGGCTGTGAGAGTTGGATCATATTGAAGGTTAAGCCATGAAGAAATTGAAGCTTTTGAATTATGGTGCTGGAGAAAACTCTTAAGAGTTCCTTGGATTGAAAGGAAATATATCAGTCAATCCTAAAAGAAACCAACCCTGACTGTTCTTTGGAAGGACAGATCTGAAGTTCAAATAATTTGGCCATCAAATGACAAGACAAGACTCACTGATGTTGAGAAGAACAGAAGACAAAAGAGAAGGAGATGACAGAGGATAAGGTGGTTAGATAATGTCATCAACCCAATGAACTATGAATCAGGGAAAACTTTGGGAGACAATGGAGGACAGAGGAGCCTGGTGCTTTATGGTTTATGGGGTCATGAAGAGTCAGATATACAACTTAGCTACTGAACAACCACAACTATTCTTTACTATCTACAGCCTCCCAAGCTTTTTCTACTCCTGTTTTAATTATGGTTATTCAAACTATGATATTTGGAGTTACTTAAATATGATTTGCATTGCAATTAATATAACTCTGGGAGCATCCAGGGAATAGTACTGACGTGTATTTTGATACATCTGAGCAAAACTATCAAAGAATGTATGCAAGAACAATTGCCTAGTGAAGAAACCAACAATATGGGGAAAAGCTAAGATATGTCAAACATGATTATTGGTTGGAAACAACAAAATGGATTGGGTTACACTTTGAATCTGTGTTACACTGTACATCACATTTCCATTAATTCAATAGGTTTTTTTCTTTATATCTCTCAGATGAATTCAGAACTCTCCAGACAGCTTTCCACTTTTATGACATTAATTTCAAAAAAGGAAGAAGAAAGGGCAAAATAATGTCCCATTCTGGTAACTGAAATTGCTTCTGCTAACGGAAAGATATAGTTGGGTTCTACTCTAAGTGCTCAAGAAGAAATGGGAAGAAAGAATGGGAAGAACAAAACTAATGAAACTCATCATTAAACAAATAAACTAGAGAAGATAGTCAGAGATAAGTCTTTTCTTCTCTGAAAGGGTGGCCTTATCATACAGATTATAGCAGATGACTAGACTGAGCTTGAGGAAGGGATCAAATGGATCATCTTGCGTCTCTTCGCACCCACAAGAGAGCCCACTTTGAGTTCCATAGACTCTTTATCTATTGCCAATTTAATTTGCCTGTTAGTAGTTCAGATTCTTGTAGAGAACTTAAGTTTGCAATAAACCTTTGTATTCATTTGAACTGACTGTATTTCCTGATTTCCCCGGCCCTTGACACACAGGCAATGAAATATAAAGTATAAGGACATACAGGGCCATAAAGGGAAAACAGACCCATGATCTTGCACTTCAGTAAGATTCAGTTTATTTACTGTATTTTGTGATGCAAATAACCAGTAATTTTAGATGCTTGAAGAATATCAAATGACACACTTTGAAAATTGGCTACTTTTTCATAATGTTAACTCTATTAATAAAATGTTGACATTTGCCAGTGAATGCCAATTCTATCTCTAACCATCTAAACACATGCCATATTGCTTGAGGAGCTGTCATCTCATCATCAATGTTTAAGATTCAGACTTGGCTGTAAAAATTAAAGATTCAAGAAAAGCACAGCACTTATTTATTGAGGATCTCTTTTATTCTTTACTTCCTCTTTTACCACTTCGGGTGTCGAGAGAGATATTCCCATCATTGAGGACAGGAAATTTTAATTAATACTATCCAAAGTTATGAAGTTTCATAAGGCCAGTACGCTCTTCAATAATGTCTGTTCTAAGAAACAATTTTATATGCAAGATCAAGGAAAGGAAAAATTGAGTTCTGAGGATATGTTAGAAATATCCACTAAAGGAATTAGCAGAGCAGAGTGACTCTTGATGCCTTTGAGAGTTCCTAGAAGACTGGAAGAGAGCAAATATTCTTATTTTTAAAAAGGGAAAGGGGAAAATAAGAAACTACAGATTTGAAGACTACATAAGATCTTTGAACAAGTTATCAAGCAAGAGAAAGAAAAGGTTTGTTGCAAAGAAATTGCACCAGATTAACCTTACCTCCTTCTTTGTTGCTGGCTTAGTAGATCATGAAATTACCCTGGAGATAGTGTATCTGGATCTCAGCAAAGCCTCCAACAGAGCACCTTACCGATACCCTTCTTAGTAAAACTGTAAAATATGGGTTAGATGATACTTGTGTCATTTGACTCAGAGTTAGCTGAATGGACTACCCCCAATGTGCTTGTTAATGCCTTCACTTCAGCTTGGATGGAATTATCAGAGTACCACACCTCCCTGACCTAGGTTCTGTACTGTAATATTATAATTAATGATGAAGATAAATGGACAATGCCAATGGCACAATGCTGGAAGAGATAGTTATTACTTTACTACACAAAGTAAAAATACAAACCAATCTACACAGGTTTGAACAGTGGGTTGGAATGAATTAGCATGGAATTTACACAACATATAATTCAACTTTGGAAATTAGTACTATAAGATGCACACTCACTACCAGATTGGCTGGCTTCAAAAATGAGTTGGATCTATTCATGGAAATCAATGTTATTAGCCCTGATGGAAGTGTGATGGCCTCTGTGAGGAGACTGTTGGGTAGTTTGGTGCAGGTAGCTGGCTACTGTGAACACAAACAGCTGAACTAAATTGGCCAGGGATCCAATCCAGCAGAGGGCACTGCTTATATTCTTAAAGGTAGAAATGCAATGTTATATATCAGAGTGAAAAAATGTAAGGCATAAATATAGAATGGGGAAAATCTGGCTTGATAGTAATACATGTCAAAGGACTCTGGGTGTTTGGGGTGGTTGCAAATCAAATATAAGTTGGTAATATTATGCAGCTACTAAAAATGCTATTAACAAGGACACTGAGATCATGAGAAGTAATTGTTCCATTTTGCTTTATCATGGTATGACCCCATGTGAAAATATCTAGCAATAGAAACCTTTCCACCATATGTAGTTGATCCATTGTGTCTAACTGCAACCATGGTTCAAAAAGGACAGTGATCAGTTGCAACAAGTTCAGAAGACAGCTAATGTGAATCATAAACCAAGTCCTACGAAGAACAGTCAAAGCATCTACAATATATAGGTTTAACCTACAGAAATGATGACTGGGGAGAGATATAACAATAGTTTCAAATATCTGAAGAATCATCTCACAGAGGCAGTGGACTTTTTCTGTATTGACTCAGATGTCAGGAGTTAAAAGTTAACCAATGAGTTAGAAGTATGAGAATAGATTCAAGCTAGCCATCAGAATTGTCCTGCCAACTGTGTATGACGGTAAGGTCTTTATTGCTACAGATTTTCAAACCTATGGAAATAGTCAATTGTGAGAGATGCTTTACTCGATCCTATACTACGCATGGGGTTGAAATAGATTTTCATTGAGATATCTTCCAACTTTATGATTCTATGAAAATAAAATGCAGTGAAATGAAATGCTTGATATTTGTCAGCAGTGTTAGATACATTCTTTATTAATAATATAAGATGCAAGAATTGCTTTAAATAATTCTAATGCCCTATCAGCATTAGATCATGAAAACAGTAGGAAGATGCTATTTTAACTGTTTGTAATCCAAAATAATTATCTTCTAATGGCAACCTCCGGTGCCAAGGATATCCTAAAAGAAGGGGCAATCTAGAATCATAATAAAAGACATTTTCTTTGATCAGTGGAGTTCCTGGGTTGTAGCTTATAATATTCTACTTGAATGCAGCATAGAAAACAATATAACAATAAGTTAAATGAAGAAAAATGCTATAAAACAGCACCTTAAATCCAGACATATCCATAATTTAAGTTACTCCATAAAAATGTTCTCAATATTTCATAAAATCTACAAACTGTTCTTGCTATTGCCCCATTCCTTAGGACTCTTATTATTCATTATGAAGCAGTGACTTTTAAAGTGTTCTCTGAGGAATCCCAGGATTATATGAGTGGCTGCTTAAATGACATATAAACAAGAATGGATAAGTTTTCTTAAAAGAAAGTATGTTCAACAGCAATCAGTTTTCCTTAGAGCAGTCAGCTGCTACCCAATGGCTTTCAGGTTAAATTCTCATTTGAAATAGGACAACTTTAAATCCAAGAGCCCATCCATTTTCAGATGACAACTACATGTAAGAATAGATTCAATGAATCCATAGGCTCAATTGTATTTTGTGTCAAGGTGGAAATTCTTAAAAGCAATTTGATTTGTTATAAAAAATTGAGATGAAACCAGAACTATTTTTATTGGCATTTTAAGACAAAATACCTGCAAAAAACTTCAATGCATTATACTTCATATAATATCAGCGGCCAGAATTACTTTTGCTCAAAATTGAAAAAAAGACAACAGTCCTTCTGATGTAATGATAATAAAAAAGGTTCTTGAATGTTCTTGAATTATAGAATACTATAAGATCTCAAATATATGGTATAAGTGGTTAGAAAAGTTGTTACATGAAGAGTACGTAGGAGCTACAGCAAAATGGGGAAATTGTGTGTGTGTGTGTGTGTATGTATGTGTGTGTGTATATACACACACACATATATGTTTTATATTTTTATTTATATTTTTATTTATACACACACACATACACACACACACACACACACACACACACACACACACACGGCATTCAGCTTTGTTCGGGTATTTTCCCATGTCATTGTAGTTGTGCTTTTAAAGTTGTAGCAACGTTTCGGCAGAATCTCATCTGCCATCATCAGGCTTCTGTATTGTGTTCGTCTGTGAGTCAGACTTTCACAGCCGTTTCAGTTTTAAATTTGGGGCTAGCCTACTGCTGTGCCAGAATGTTTTTTCTTCATCCTGATTGGTTGGGAGTCTTGGTCTGTGTTTATTGGTCTTGGAGTTTTCTGTGTTCTGCTTGATTGGTGTTTCTAGTATCTTCTCTCTGTTTTGTGGCTTTTTTTGTCTTGATTGGCTGGCAACATTGTGTTCCTGTATTGGAGGCTTTTAGTGCAGCTTGGCTCTGAGTAAATGGACAGCTATCATTTATTAGGAAGCTGGGTTTCATCTGGGTGCCTGGTTGGGGTGTGTTTGAGCTGGAGGTATCAGGGGGGATCTGTTTGTGCCCAGGTATTTGCCTGGCTTGTGGTGTGAAGATTTTTTTGTTTGTGAGTGCAGGCTTCCAAATAATTGACAGTCTGGTGGAATCCTCTCTTCTATTCATGCTTTCAGGTCTTGTTTCAATCTCTATGGCTTCTCTGATAATTCTGTGGCTGGGGTTTTCTATAGTGGCTAGGGTTTTGGTGCCATTGAAGTCGATGCTATGACCTGTTGCTTTCATGTGTTGGACTAGTGAGGAAGTGTCTTCCACTATAATGACGTGGGAAATTACCCGAACAAAGCTGAATACCATACATGTAAGTACCCACGAAAACTTAAGAAAACACACACACACACACACACACACACTCTCAATCTTACATGGGAAAAGACCCGAACATGCCAAAACCTGCATACCTACACCCGTGAAAATCTATGAAAACACACACACACACACACACACACACACACACACACACCTGTAAATACAGTTACAAGTTAAATGTAGAAATAACTATAAAATACATAAAATAGTAATCTATATAATTAGAAACTATGTCAATTTGAGTGAATACCGATACCGGAATGCTGTAATGAATGAAAATGGTGGAAATATGATTAATAAAAATTTACTTTGAAAAAGAAAAGCAATTTGATTTGATGTGGGGCCTTGTCAGCTGATCTTAATACTAAGGGAGCAATATCTAATACAATATTATGTTTCCTTCAGTGCTAATTTAGCTAATAATTGGACTTTGAACCTGTTATGGCTCTTTTATACATCTGCTTGGCACTCTCCGAAATTATAAGAAAAAATAACGACAATATTTGAAAATATTTCATATCCATATTAAGTATCTCCTTGCAACCTGATCTATACTGATAGTATCGTTTTAAGTTAAATGTTATTTGTTTTCATGAGTGTTTATACAACAGAAAAAGTATATATAATAAAAACATAAAGTAATACCTTGTGTGCAGTTTCTGCAAACTGCTGAGCACTGTTTTTCATGTCCTCTGTCTTTTCTTCAGTTCGACTTAATCTTTCACCGCGCTCATTCAAAGCCTGGCTTGCTTTCTGTACTGCGCTTGTCACACTGTCTGCTGCTGAATGTAATATGCTGTTTCCTGAAACACATCACACTTGGTTGGAATGGAATGTCTTATTTTCTGAAACATGTAGCATAGCAAAACCTTTGTGAGAATTATGGATGAAAAATAAAACATTTTTTTTTTACTTCACCTGATGCAAGTGACTTTGTTGGCAGTAATTCTAACAAAGATGTCTTTAAGCTCCAAGGCAAGGGTATCCAACCTTGGTAACATTAAGACCTGTGGACTCTAAAAAAACTTGGCTGGGGAATTCTGGGAGTTGAAGTCCACAGGTTTTAAAATTGCCAAGGTTTGACACTCCTGATCTAGGGAGAAAATATTTGTTTCCCACTTTGTAAAATGAAATCATATTGGCTGACCTCCAAATAAACTAAACTAAACTAAACTAAACTAAACTAAACTAAACTAAACTA